TCACCGTGTTAGCCAGGATGGTCTCGATCTCCTGACCTCATGATCCGCCCGCCTCGGCCTCCCAAAGTGCTGGGATTACAGGCATGAACCACTGCGCCTGGCCCATGCGTGGCTAATTTTTAAATTTTCTGTAGAGATGGTTTATCATTGTGTTGCCCAGACTGATCTGAAACTCCTGGACATCTCAAGAGATCCTCTTGCCTCGGCCTCCCAAAGTGCTGGGGTTACAGGCATGAGCCACTGTGCCCAGCTAGTTCTCATTTCTGTTTCTTTTTGAGTCTTTGCTTCCTTATTCTCTTTTCTCAGTCTCTGTAGACTGGCTCCCTTAGCACCTTTAGACCACATGGACCTATGGAAAGCTCCTAAGTTCACATGTTAAAGTTCCAAGAGGGCTTTTTACCTTTCCCTCAGCCAACGCCTCCCTTTGCAAATTCCCTGTTCTCAGAGAAGAAGCTCTGGCTGGCCTAGCTTCAGTCAGGTGTTGATCCCTGGCCCAGCCAACTGTGTCTAGTTAAGCAGGGTCACTCAGCAGAAATATGGCTACTGGAACCCATCCCTGTCAGTGACATAGGTGGACCCAGAGAATAGGAGCTCAACACACAGTATTACATGAGGGAGCAAGGTTTATTTGGTTTTATTTCTGTGCTTATTTGTATATTGCCTCATTTTGAAAAGAATGATCTAAGGCACGGATGTGGAGTTGAGTTGCCCAGGCCCTGCATAAGAAGACATTGAGCCAGGCACAGTGGCTCACACCTGTAATCCCAGCACATTGGGAGGCTTAGCCGGGAGGATCACTTGAAGCCAGGAGTTCGAGACCAGCCTGGGCAACATAGCAAGACCCCATTTCTACAAAAAATAAAAGCTAGCCCAGTGTGGTGGCACGTGCCTGTAGTCCCAGCTACTTCGGAGGCTGATGAGGGAGGATGGCTCGAGCCTGGGAGGCTGAGGCTGTAGTGAGCTACGGTTGTGCCCTGCACTCTAGCCTGGGAGACAGAACAAGACCCTGTCTTGAAAAAGAAGAAGTAGGGTTTGGGGCTGGGCACTGTGGCTCACGCCTGTAATCCCACACTTTGGGAGGCCGAGGCAGGTGGATCACCTGAGGTCAGGAGTTCGAGACCAGCCTGACCAATATGGTGAAACACCGTCTCTACTAAGAATACACACACACACACACAAAATAGTCAGGTGTGGTGGCACGTGCCTGTAATCACAGCTACTTGGGAGGCTGAGGCACGAAAATCGCTGGAACCCGGGAGGCAGAGGTTGCAGTGAGCCAAGATCATGCCACTGCACTCTAGCCAAAAAAAAAAAAAAAAAAAAAAAAAGAAAAGTTTGGAACAGACAAATGGAAAGGGATATATAATTGAATATCATTTCTTCCTTCCTTTTCTAGTTTGCTGCTGTTCAGTTTTCCACAAGCTACAAAACGGAATTTGATTTCTCAGATTATGTTAAACAGAAGGACCCTGATACTCTGCTGGAGCATGTAAAGCACATGTTGCTGTTGACCAACACCTTTGGTGCCATCAACTATGTCGCGTGAGTTCCCTTTTGCAGAAGAGCGCGTGTCCAGTCATTGGTTCTGGGTGATCTACCCTCTTCCAGCTGCGGGGCGCGGGAACTCAGTAGGTAGGTACAGCAAGGGGCAGTTTATTGTCTGAATTAAAGTGGAACAATTTTACTGCAGGTTCTTTTGGTTGTACGTAACAGAAATCTACTCTGTACTAATTAAATCCAAAAGAGAAACTCTAAGCCAGGTGCACAATCTGTAATCCCAGTGCTTTGGGACGCTGGGGTGGGAGGATCTCTTGAGCCCAGAAGTTTTTGTTTGGTTGGTTGATTTTTGTTTTTGTTTTTTGAGATGGAGTTTTGCTCTTGTTGCCCAGGCTGTAGTGCAGTGCCGCGATCTCGGCTCACTGTAACCTCCGCCTCCCAGGTTCAAGCCATTCTCCTGCCTCAGCCTCCCAAGTAGCTGGGATTACAGACCTGTGCCACCATACCCAGCTAATTTTTTTTGTATTTTTAGTAGAGATGGGCTTTTACCATGTTGGCCAGGCTGGTCTCAAACTCTTGACCTCAGGTGATCCACCTGCCTTGCCCTTCCAAAGTGCTGGGATTACAGGTGTGAGTCACCACACCGGGCCTATGAGCCAGGAGTTTGAAGCTGCAGTGAGCTATGATCACAGCATTGCACTCCAGCCTGGGCAACACAGCAAGATCCTAGCTCTAAAAAATAAAAAATAATTTAAAAATGAAGAGCCAGGACACCAATGTGGCTGGAGAGAAATAAGTGAGAGGGGGAAAATAGTAGGTGATGAGGTCGGAGAGATCATGAGGGTCTGGATGGGTTAGTGACTTGGAGGCCATAGTGAGGACTTTGGCTTTCCTCTGAGTAAGATGAGAAGTCATTAGAGGTTTTGAGTAGAAGAGTGATGATCTGATTTATGTTTTTTAAAAGGTCCCTCTGGCTGCGGGGTTGATATTAGACTGTAGAGGGGGCAAAGGCGGGGGGAAGCGATAGGGCCAGTTAGGACGCTATTGAAAAATCCAGATAGAGACAATGCTTGTCTAAGCCAGGGTGGAAATCCATGAACAGGACCCGCAATAGGCCCATGTCTGTGTGGATGGAGATTGGAGAAGCATTTTGCATCCAGATAGAACCAGAGGTCTTGATAGCAGGTGTTCATGGGTAAGACGGTTCACATCTCGCTGCTGTTTCAGCAAGAGCTATGGCCAACCTAACTTGCTCAGAGGGAGGTTGTGGGCAAGGCAGGAATTTTCTTTTTCTTTTTTTTAGAGTCAAGTCTCACTCTGTTGCCCAGGCTGGAGTGCAGTGACGTGATCCTAGCTCACTGTAGCCTTAAACTCCTGGGCTCAAGCGAACCTCCTGCCTCAGCCTCCTGAGTAGGGACTACAATCACACACCACCATGCCTGGCTAATTGTTTTCATCTTTGTAGAGTTGGGGTCTCGCTATGTTGCCCAGACTGGTCTGGAACTCCCAGGACAGAAATCTTTAGCCTTGGCCCATCTGGTGTTCAGTTCTCCCTTCTTTGTTTATTTTTTAAATTTTTTTGAGGGTGGAGGATTTTAGCAAAAAACAGAAAGCCTGCTAGACAAAATCTAAAAGAGCTGTAACACTGGTTCTCCCTCCTTCATCTCACATGCACAAGCACCTCCTCTGTGCTGGGAGCCAGAGATACAGCAACAAATCCAACATGGTCCTTTCCTTCAGGAGCTCATGGTTTAGGGGGAAAATTGACAGAGAAGTCATGGTAATTCATTGGGTTCACTGCTATAGTAGAGATCCGGAGGCGGGCTGGGTACTATGGGAAGGCAGAGGAGGTGCTGGAAGAGTTTGCTCTGGAAGAGTGACTCCCCAATTTTCTTAAGCTGTGGGACCCTCTCTTCCACATTGAAATCTCACTTGGATCAACATCTGTAACTGATTAAAGAGTGGTGGCCATGTGGTTGCAATGGAGGGTGGGAAGCTCAGAGTCATTCCTCACAGAACCTCCTCCTCCTGCCCATGGGCTCTGGGACACCCTCTGGACTGCCCAGGATGCAATGTGAGGACCCCTGGTCCAGAAGGAAAGGGGTGGCAGCAAGGGGGTTTAGAGGTGACTGCTGCAGGCTTGGAATCCCAGCCTGGGAGATCCAGGAAGGGCTTTTGCATAACCAGTATGGCGGTGACTTGATGAGCAGGTGGGGAAGGAGACCTCAGGCCCTGGTTTTGGGGAGTCTCTCACCTCCTCCTTTCCTGGACACAGGACAGAGGTGTTCCGGGAGGAGCTGGGGGCCCGGCCAGATGCCACCAAAGTGCTCATCATCATCACGGATGGGGAGGCCACTGACAGTGGCGACATCGATGCGGCCAAAGACATCATCCGCTACATCATCGGGGTAGGGTCCCGGCTGCTTCCTACATCTCGCCTTCCCTCTCCTCTTTCTGAACCCCAGGCCCCTTTCTTCCTGGGGCCAAACTCTTGTGAAAATAATGGCAAACTGGACTGAGGTTTGGGGGATTTCAGCTCCTCACTCTCCTCTCCCTCACAGATTGGAAAGCATTTTCAGACCAAGGAGAGTCAGGAGACACTTCACAAATTTGCCTCAAAACCTGCGAGCGAGTTTGTAAAAATTCTGGACACATTTGAGAAGCTGAAAGATCTATTCACTGAGCTGCAGAAGAAGATCTATGTCATTGAGGGTGAGTGACAGGCCCTGGGAGAGGGCTCGGGAGGCTGAATACAGAAATTCCCCTGGGACATCAGGCCAGGCTCAGCGGATCACGCCTGTAATCCCAGCACTTTGGGAGGCTGAGGCAAGTGGATCAATTGAGCCCAGGAGTTTGAGACCAGCCTGGGCAACATGGAGAAACCCCATCTATACTAAAAATACAAAAAATGGCCAGGTGTGGTGGTGAGTGCCTGTAATCCCAGCTACTCAGGAGGCTAAGGCACAAGAATCTCTTGAACTCAGGAGGCAGAGGACGCAGTGAGCCAAGATCGCACCACTGCACTCCAGTCTGGGTGGCAGAGGAAGACTCCATTTCAAGAAACAAAAAACAAAAAACAAAAACGGCTGAGCGCGATGGCTCACACCTGTAATCTCAGCCCTTTGGGAGGCCGAGGCGGGCAGATCACCTGAAGTCAGAAGATCGAGACCAGCCTGGGCAACGTGGCAAAACCCCGTCTCTACTAAAAATACAAAAATTAGCTGGGCATGGTGGCGCACGCCTGTAATCCCAGCTACTCAGGGGGCTGAGGCAGGAGAATTGC